AGTAGCTTGTATTTGTATCTTACAAATTCCACACCTGTGATGCCTTTTTGTAAATGTAGGACCCAAGTCATAATCCTAAAGAGCAATCCCCTATGATTTAAGAATATAAGAAGATACAGTGTAGACTCTTTCTAAACACAAGAGGGCAGCACCTCACAGATGGTCCTTAAGTCTGAAGATATGAAATACTCAAACAGGCTGTGCCTAATTAATAATGAATAAGCTGGTGAACCAATGTTTGCAACCTGAGCCACCTTGCAATTACAGAAAAGGCTGGTGGCGATAGTTGTTTTAAAGATGGGAGGCAGCCTATAAACAAGGACACAGACCTGTGTGCGAAATGTTCTCAGGGAGCATGTACTTGGTGTTTCTGTCTGAGTGGGCAGCATAAATCTGGAAAGAAAAAGCAAAGAAAATATTATTTTTTAAAAATTAGCCAATCGTGGATTTATGTTTACCATTTCTTCCAGATGAGGCCAAACAAAGAGCTGTGAGCTCCCACGGTGTAATTAATGAATGCTAGCCCTCTGACACTAGTTTCCACATCATTTAGGACAAAATGTGAAGCAGTGGTGGGTGGGGTATACCCAACCCACTGCTCTACTTGCATTCATTACCACATTCCAGTGAGACCAGTTAGATGGCCAGTCCTTTAGTCAGAGAACTTTGTGTCTGGGCAGTTTGTCCCAACAACAGAGAGGAGGCAGGACTTGGTGGTTTAAAGTAAGGAACAGATATCCTCAAATATTTTTAGTACTTTCCACTGTTTATTATTTTCTTTCCACAGTAGTAATTCATCTTACACGTTCTTCAAGCCTGAGCAATACTTGGAAGAGTTGGTATATAAGCATTAACATATAAATAATATTCTTAACTGAAACAAATGCAACAATTAAATACAACATAAAAGGTTTTTGCACAGAGTAGTAGAGTTTTTGGGGACAAACATTCATACTGAAGGTACCATTTATTCAAACGCACAAATTAACTTGGATTCACTTTAAATGTGTAACTGTTATTTAGTCATCATTTACAGTAGTTATACATGTTCAATATCAAATCAAAGCACACACACACAGTCCTGGAGTTGGTTTATGCAATTGTCAGTTGAGCTGTACATCATGTAGAACTGCACAACGAAGCACGTGTCTATAAATAACCCACTGCAGCAATATGACAAGTCCCAAAATGTCACTGAGATCAGACACAGGGTGACACGAACAAGTAACCTGGCTACTGTCACACAGGGTCTGTGTGTTGCTCTGCGGGTCAGGGGGAGACGCGGCAGATGAGATGTTAATCCTGCCACAAGGATGGGAAAAACAACAATGAGGCTGCAATTTCTGCTCCCGCTAAAGGAGTTTACAGCAGATGTTCGGCGGAAATAATTTGGAAAATTAAAGGAATCTTTGATGAGAACGCAGAAGTAATAAAATTTCAACACGCAATGTTCTAAGATGCTAATATTGGGAGCAACGAGAAAGCCAACAAGTAAGGCGAAGTAAGAGACGAGAGCGTGAGTTGGTTTGGATAAAACAACAACCTCCAGGGCCAATCCAACAAAGAAAAAAGCCAAGACTGAGGTTTCAACATGTGGAATCCCAAAAACAGATGACGTCATGGTGGCTACATCCATACATACCATCTATGGTTTACAGACAGATAAATGAACTGAAGTGGCACAGCAGTTATAGTCAAATATACAGAGAGTTTATTTGACTACACAATCATCTTGTTCAATCAAACCACCTAAATGTTGTGCATGCGTTTCAGTCTGAAATGTTACATTATAGGGCGCTCATTTCAAAATTGCTTTCCAAGTACAAAAATAGTAAAAGAATACACAATCCCAAGTGACATCTTTGTTCATTCATTTATCCAAATATTGACATAAATCCTAAGTATTTTTATAAAGGTTTAAACTGGAAAAAAAGGGAATCCTTACACTTACAGAACCTTTATGAATTGCTGCTTGATGAATACCTGCATCAATTAACTTGTAGCTGACTAGTTCCCTGCATTAAAATATCTGTTAAATGTCCATGCTTTTAACTGTCTCCATGACATCTGGAGGAAACAGCTGCTGTGTGAACAATGGTCTGATTTTGATTAACTGATTAAGAGCTACACTGGTTTTATTGTAGAAGGTCTGAATATTACAATATTAATAACAAAAGCCCTTCTCTAATCTAATAACTTTAAATAGAACAGTACACTGCCTGGTGGCCATCACACAGTTTTCAGAAATGCCGCATCTTGTTTGAAGACAGAGAGTCAACACTGTAATTACAGGGTGCATGTAACTAACTATCGGTTTAAAAATGGAAAGTATTTGAGAGGTAAAGTCATTGAAAGCTAATTGTGAAAGCCTTTCATCACTTGCTGATAAGCAGTTAATGCCTTGTGCACTAAGCAGCCCTCTTACGTGCGACATATTCTCCTCGTTGAGGGTATAATACCTTCATCACTGCGACACGCTCCAGTGAGGAGGCTAAGAGAGCTCTGACATACGTCAAAGCAGGAGGACATTTTTCACATATTGCTGTGGACTAACAGCTCGAGGGTGCCGGCGGCGACTGTGCTGTGTTGACTGGAACTTCTCTCTAAAGGTCTTTGTGACCAGAGCTGTGACGCACAGACGAGTTCCCCAGAGGCTGAGCGTGGAATTTGAGTCAAGGGATAGAAGGGGGGTAGGGGGGACCTTCTCACGAGATTAAACCACGCTAAGGTCTGCACCAGTAAGTGTGGGGTAACCAGGCAACATGACCATACCCACGTCAGCACCACAAATGCACTCAGGTGGAGTCACGCTGGACTGCCAGAAGCCATGACAAGATAATTCTCCTGAAAGATGAAAATCATTTGTCATGGACACACAGACGTTGCATGCTCTCCCCAAACATGCTCACAGGTTCAATAATAATAACAGCCATACCAAAATTATCTCACAGAAACGTCATCATACTACTGAAAGAAAGTAAACATGTGTAGCGCTTATAAAAATATGTAGCATCTGTTTATGCAGTGTAAAAGACAGCTGTTTTGATCAAAACTTTGCCAGTTTTACACTCAATTTTTATATTAGATTTTGGCATGCTGCACTTTCCTTTGGGGTGGACCGAACATTTGCTCAACAAAAAAGATTCAACTGAATGCCCCCTAAATGCAAAATTTTCAAATGCATCCCTTTATTCATTTAAAAAGTCTGACAGACTAACACTAAAACACTGCTGAATACTGCAGATGGATTTCCTGGTACTAAAAATCTTGATCAATACGTATTTAAAATGATCATCATCTGTCTCATTAGCTACAAAAACAAACAAAAAAAGCTATTAACTGAGAGTTAATAGATTACTAGCTCGGTTAGTAAACTGAGACTAGTTTTGCCAATTTTCTGTAGTAATTGGAGATGGGAATCCAGAAGTGGTTCCAAATGATTCAATACATGGGAATTATGTGCCTCAAACTTCCTTTTATCATTGCTGGCATGTTTGTTTTCCTGACAGTTGGATGTTGCAAAATGTCAGAAGCTTTTGCACAACTCAGTCATATGCAATTCTTTGTCTTCTACTCTGTTTCTGCAGTCTTCAAAGTCAGAAAAAAAAGACTAAAGACTAGTGCAGGTCTTCATATTATCCACAAAACAGATACTGTGTGGAGTAAACGGATCAGAAATCAGAAAGGGATTAATACCAAATAAATGTAAGTACTAAAAACACTCTTAAACACTTATTAACATTTAAATAAAAGCTAAACTCTACAGTTATTTTTTAATGTATCTCCTACCTCATTGGAAAATCATAAATCAGTCTATCATCTACATTACTAAAAGTCCAGTCCAAGAGTTTGTGCAATGCATAGGCTTTAAGAATGCGACTTCACATCTTAAATTCAGATTTTAGCTGAGCACATTCACCTGAGAAAAACACCGCTTGGAACGTCAGATATTATAATAAAAGTGTTGCTACTCCTATAAGACCAGCAACTCCTCCCGAAACACGTCTGAGTTAAAGAGAAGTTTAAACATTTAAGGCAGACTATGTTAATCTACTGTTTACTGCAGCTCTAATAAAGCACTTCACTCACATTTACTGAACTACATTTAAAAAGAAGAGCATCAGTTTCCCCGCTCTGACCCTGATAACCTACAGTATGATAACTTCCCACAACACGCTGTAGTGTTTTCACACTGTTGTAACACTGGCGCTGTTAAATTCAAAGAAAGCCCTGCTGCAGGTAGGCTTTCCAAGAAGTGTAATATTCCATCATACTTGTAAATCTCTCAAATATTCGCTGACCTTCACAGAGATTTATCCAGCATGTTTTCTCAGAAATATCGCCATGACATCACTCATGTCTCCTCTTGAAAAAAAAAAGAATCCTAACCGCTGATTGAAACACCTGTTTACCAACCATGTATTTGCACAAAAAAAATTTGCCAACCATTTAAAGCTGCAAAGTGTTCTTTCCCATACTCTTACCTCGTGTTTACACTGGTTGTTGCCTCAATGGACTGGAAGTCACAGTCTACCATCTGGCGTTTATTAAAAGCAGCAGCAGTGTGGACACAGCAGAATGAAGAAAGATTATTTATGTAATCTCTGTACTGATACTCACCTGGCCTCTCGGATCCAAAACCGGGTTTGTTCCTTTGTTTTGTTTTTGTTTTTTATGTGGTTGTTTTGTTTGTTTGGGGGTGGTGGTTTCAAAGTCGAGCCATGAAATAATCCCACACGAAGCTCTCGCAACTCGACAAAAATGTCGACTGAAAAGTTTCAGCTCGGATTAAACAAACATTCAGCCGTGTGGAGGTGAAAGCGCAGTGACGGGAGACGCGCTCAGTCATCTGCTGTTGGCTGCTGCTGGGCAGGACTACACGCCGCTTCCTAATCTTTGGACAAGGCAACAGCGCCCCCTGTCGGTGGCTTATACAGATGGTAATTCATAGGATCCTGATTGTGCTACATCTGCACCTGAGATATTCAAAATGTAGAAATGCAGGTGTCCACGTCCACGTTTCAAAATGATCCTGCACTTGCCATAAATATATTTTCAGTATGAAGTGCGGTTTTGTTTTGCTTTTTGTAATCTTGATAAATAAAAAATACAAATATTTTTCATTAGTCAGAAATAGGTTTTTTTTCCCCTTTAATTTTGTCTCCTGATTGTCAATACCCAGAGAAGTTCATATATATATATATATATATATCCAAGACATACCTGAAGCACTGGTAAACAAATCGACTAATTTTACTTACTTATCTAGCTCAGTGGTGTCAAATTTAATTCATGGACTTGACAGAGCTTCATCTACTGACTTGACCAGTAAAACAACTGCATAATAATCTAAAAATGAATAAACCAAATAAACATTTTTAAAATTCAAAATTCTTCCCATTTCTTCTAGTATATGTTTTAGCACATTCTGAAAACATTTACATTCCATAAAGCATCTTGCAGATGAACAGTCTGAGATGATGAAGAAAATTACATGCCATTGCAACAAAAGGCCTCAGGGTTTTTTGGGGTTTTTTCGCATTAAAGAAATGCTGTTATTGTAGATAAAGAGAGCTGTTAGCTGGACTCCTCGGGTTTTAACCACAATCAAGGAAATAAATGTCTAAAGTTACAGATACAGTACTAGCAGTCTTTTACCCGGACTTTGCTCCATAAATAAAAACAAACAGGACAGTGGATGTACTGAAACACAAGCAGGAAATTTTCAGTGATATAATCAAATATTTGCTGGAAAAAACACCAAATTTTTATTTTTATTTTTTTTTGGTTTATCTCTGGCAGGCCATGGAAAATATCTTAGACGTCTATAAAATGAACACTTCAGACTAATTTTCAGACCTTTCATCTGGTGGCTACATGGGTCTGTTCTGGCGCTTTGGCCACATATTTGAGATCCCTGGTCTAGATGTATGATTTAATTCATTTGTTTGTTACAACCTTACGCTGCATGTCATGAAAGCTCATTCTTGCATAAAGTAATAAACGCCAGAAACATTCAGTAGCAAAGTAAGTTGAAATAAGCAATTTGAGCACTGTTTTATTAGTAGAAAGCATATATATAATACTTTCACACAATGCTTTTTCACTATTTACATTTAAAAAATTAAAGCTGTATTTTGTATCTGTGTTTTAGACTGAATGTGCACAAAACCTGAAAAATTGTGAAGAAATGTTTAACTGTCCATGCACTTCGTTGAGTACTGTACTGTACTGTATATATATAGTATTCAACCAAGTATTTAACAAAGGATTTAGATTTATTTTGGCATTTTGCAAAGATACAAAGATTGAAAAGATTGGCCACTTTTTCTTTTCATTACAAGTTTAAGGAAACAAATCTACATTATAGGAGGTTGTAACAACATAGTCACATTAGGGGAGTCACAAGTTAACAAATTTCCTGTCATACCACGTAGAAGATGTCTGTTAGATAACAATAAGAACTTCAATTTATAGCATGCTTTAATTATTTTTCCCACAGTCACAAAGTTTAAAATAAGCAGCTATTCCTCAGCCACCTTCCCAGTGATCCTGTAGACCTCTGTCGGCCCCTGCTCTCCACAGGTCAGCTGTGTCTCTTGGCTCTCGGGCTTGTCCGTCATATCTGCAACATAATCTCAGATAAACACCTCCAGCATATTTACAAAGCAAATATCTCTCGCCATCGGTTTGCTAAACTGGATTCTGACCAAACAACAGAACTGTTACGCACCTGTGTGTTGAGTGTCTCCTGACTTCTTCCCGTTGTGCTTGTGTGAGGGGGCATAGAGGAAGATAATGGTAAAAACGTACAGGTTCCACATGCCATAGATTCCTGTAAGAAAAGCACTGTGGACCTGGAGAGTGTAGTCTCCCCAGTGCCAATGACCTTCACTGACCTATTTGAAAAAATAAGAATATTTGAAATAATTTTTAAGAAACCCAAACATGTCCAAATAACAAATCATAAACATATTTTAAAGAAGAACAAACTGCAATTAAAACTGCTGCTCCTTAGAAGGCTAAAACTTACTTGATTTAAGATGAAGAAGATGATGGTGAGAGCAGCACATGTGAGTGTTGCCAGCATTAAAAATTTAAACCTGAAAATAATACCCTGGGGGGAAAGCACACCTACAGTCAGTAAAGTAAGTAGAATTTCTGCATAAGCTAGTGAATGAAAAGCTTTTTCTTTTTGTCAAATTCACTACTTTTTCTTATGTGATTTTGATATAAAACTAAACCTTATAGCGCAGTCTCCGAGTCTCTGGCATTGTAGGAAGCTGTTGCATTTTCCCACTAATGGTTCTGAACACGCAGTGCACCATGCGACACAGGGAGAAGAAATAAAGGCAAACAGAAATCCCTGCCACAATAATGAAGGTAATATGTGGTTTCAGATAAGAAAAAAATCTTGGATGTTAATGGTAGCCTGACTGCTGAATTACTTTTTATAATAAAGAATAGATATTTGAAGGATACTGCAACCTTACTCCTGGATTCTGACGCCCACACACTGTAGAATGGATTGCTCAAACGAACCCCCCTTCGGTAAGAGAGAAAACAACTTACTTTTTTTATTAAATCCACACCAATAACACAAAAAATGGAAAACATTTACCTTTCACTCAGGTCAAATATGAGAAGAACAGAAGATCCAAACACCACAAGCCCAACTTGCCACCAATAAGCTGAGAGGAGATTCCTCTGACGTTGGTCCTGGTGATTTAATGAATGAAAGAATAAGTAACAACTGGCAGGAAGGTGCAGAGAAATGTGCAAGCAGCAAAGAAAGACCTGCTAACCATGAGGTGTTCACCACAGAAGATGATCCAGAAACAGAAGAGTACAGAGTATAAGGCGCCCTGCTGGGCATCTTCAAACAGCAGCATCCATGTCCACTCAAAGCCCATGGACAGCCACTCCACCGGCATGTCCAGGAAGGCCATTGAGAGGCCCAGAGCAAAAATCACCCTGAGCAGGACGAATACATCAGTGAAAGAAACACTTACATCCACTCAGACAAATAACTCCTTCTGCTCTATTGCAAATGGAGCAATGACCTAGCTCTAGGCAATCATGCACTTTAGATCAAACACTTTTCATTTCCTCTGCTTGGAAATGCTACACAGAAGTATGTTGGACTTCTGAAAAACAAGCTCTTAAAAGTATGCCAGAAGGTTTACTCGCAGTTTTAAGTTCTCATTGAGTATAAAAGAGCCAGGAGCTCCTTACAAGTAGCTGTATTGTATAACTTCACTCTACCTTTTAAATAAGATGATTTTGTTTCAGTCTGCAATAAAATCTCAATAAAATCAGTCCGCAGAGGCAGCAATCGCAACCTAAAGTGCTCAAAATTAAATATTCTCATTCTTATTAGTGGTAGTGGGAGCAGTAGTAGTAATATTATTATTACGGTATTATTATTATTACATTGTTTTTTATCATTTGAGAAATTATTAAAATTCAACTCAGTATTCTGACATAAAATTCATAAATATACTTAAATGTTAAAATGTCACTCTTAATCTCTCTTTCCACATGCAGGCTAGCCAAAACATACTTTTCCAAAAGGACCGGAGGTCTCGCCAAGAGCCGAATCCTGTACCAGTACCAAACTGTAGCCACTGATATCCAGGGACTGAACACAGTCTTCATGCTGATCCACACTTTGGTGAAGCCTCCATTCTGGTGGATGCCCTGAGGAAGAGGAGGGACATCAGATGTCAGAGTGCCAAATTTTTAGCCTTTGGAGATTAATTCAAACACAACATGCCGTATAACAGAAGTTAACATGTAGAAATTATACTCACCACTACATGGATGTCCTTTATTTCCCCGATGCCAACGTTCATTGTGTCATTCACTGGCAAACGCAGGTTCATTAAAAAATATTTGTGGGCTACACTTCCCAGCTCCATGAATGGTATTGGGTCACAGTGATAAAAGCGCCCTTCGTTTTCATACGTCTGAAAAAAACACTGGGTTTTTCCTCACTAAGCAGAGAAAAGTGTAACTATTTCTCATTTCTGTGTATAACATGAAGTCATGCAGGTTTACCTTGGATACTGCAAATGTGCATCTGAGTGGCCTTTGCTCCACCGAGTGAAATTTTGTGGTCCACTCAGACGTCATGTCGTCCCTGTACGCCAAACGGGCATCGATAGTGATGACCACATCATCTTCTACACAGGCAGGAAAATTGCTCATTTTATTAGAAACCCACTGTAACTAGGAAACTACGCTATTTACATTTCTGACAAAGACAAGACACACAACTTACCAATCTGATTTATCATTTTGAATGCAATGTCAAACTGCAGAACAGCCAGCATGTATTGAAACCACGGACTCATTTCAGTGTTGGGTAGGGGTACATGCACAGCAAAAACAATGTCGTTGGCATCGAGCGTTTTTGCCAGAGGGTCATCAAAACTGTGGACCTGCTGGCATCGATTTGAGCCCCATGGCATGAGCCAAGCACGTGTCCTGTGGAAATTGATGCATTTGGTGGCCAAGTAGCTGATTGCAGTGGTAGGACTGGGAGCTATCATAAAGGAAATCAGATATATATTATGAAAAAAGACAGACTAAAGCTTAATCATTAAGAGCATTGGGAAAATTTGTTTTTCAGAGCACTTCCAACACAAAAAATAATGTTAATTAGACTTCATTTTCCTAAAATTGAAATCATTGAGGGCTATCCTGCATTTACAATCAAGCTGAGTAGCTCAAAAGCACACAAACAATAAAAAAAAAATATACAGTAGGTGCAAAGAAACTCCATGCAAAAACTATAAATATAATTAAATATGGAAACTCTACAAGATAAAAGATGCAAAACTGCTCACCCAGGTGTAGAAACAAGCTAAACTGCTTGCAATCAAGAATTTAAATTAAATAAATGTTTAGTTTTTAGAATACATAGAAAATAGAAAACAGTGAGGAAATAATTGAGAACATTAAAGGAATGTTATTAAAGGAATAAGCCCATCTAAATGCACATAACAAAAATTGAATAAGATAAATTACTCCAAATAATTATTAGAAAACATTATTATTTGCAAATAAATGTAAAAATATGTTTTAAAAAAATCATCTACTTACATATCAATGCTCCAACCAAGATGGAAAATATTTGGAATAATAAAATGAAGAAAACAAATAAAACCAACTTTTTAGTGCTCATCTTCTCTATGATCGCTCCTGCCATTTGTAAAAAATATTTTGGGTAAAAAAATATAAAAAGAAAGTGTTGTCCAGACAAGCCAAGTGCTCCACTGAAGCTCATCTACCTGCTCACACACATCTGACTCTCATATGGGATACGCCAGACATTAGGCTCCAACAGAGCGTGTGCAGAAGGGACAGGAGGTGGAATCATTAGGCATTAAAAAGATCAGAGAACACTGGTCTATAAAACATGATTCCTTTATTGCTTAAAGAATACAACTTTGTAGTATAGGCAAGTGAATGTGTATCACAACTAGGTTACTTATCTTTACACTGAGGATTGACCACAGTCACAATGCAAATGTTTGATACTGCACCCAAGGAAAAGGGAAATAACAAATCTGGCCTCGATATCAAAGCGTCTTACAAAGTTATAGGTTAATAATATTTAACATTATTCACACTGATCTGGAGTCAGCAATGAGAATCACAGTAGCACCTACACCTTAAAAAGAAAACAAAACACGAACTCTGGGCTGTTAGTCTATCTTTGGTTCTATCAGACAAAAATATTCAGTTTTTCAAAGGTGCAGCTAAGAACCAATACTGTGTGTAGTTCAAGGTAGAAAGGAAACAACATAATGTTTCTGAATAAGCTAAAACAAAAATGTATTTTTCATTATCTAATAGTACAATTTCAATATTGACGCCCCCTCAACTCTTCCACTGTCGAACAAATAACTCCACAGAGGGGTAAAGAAAACCCTTTTTGACAAAATGGCAAAGACAAGAGAAGAGGAATTAGATGCTCTGGAGTCGTCAGGAGCGATTCGCCTACACCACTGATTGTTATCTAGCACTATGGTTGACATAAACAAGCTAGTTGGTGCAGTACCTGAAAGAGCAAACACCTGCTGCACCATTACCAAACTTCAATGAAATGTGCCTTCAGTGCATCCACAGTACATCCAGAAATCTACAAATTACTCACAACATAACATCAAGACATAATTAAACGGAAGTAACTTTAAAAAAAGGGGGGGGGCGGGGGGGGGGATAATCCAAATTTTATTAACAGCTTTTCAAACCAAACAAATTTCAGGTTCTGGTATCATCATGTTGACATCCCCCTCCAACTCCATCTCCACTGTCGATACCAAATGTGCATTTTCCTTGTGTCGCTGATGTGCACCAGCGGTCAAACACATCTCAAGTCTCTGTCAACAACAGCACTGGGAGGTTTGCCCGCCAACACTGTCCCAGGAAGGGATTCGGACAAGCTGAACGGTATCCTGGGATCATATGTCATCCTCTTCGTCTTCATCCTGAGAGGAACCGGCCTGTTGGGCAGCAGTGGCAGATGCTGCCGCCATCTGTGCCTGCTGGGCGGCCTGCTGCATCTGCAACCATTCCTGCTGAGCAAGTTCTGCCTGCTGCTGTCGCGCCTTCACAAACACATGAGAGGCATGAGACAGGCGAAGGTGAATGAGGATTATATCAGGCAATTAGAGAAGCTCATGGTGGTGATATCTGATGTCTAATTAGAACTTGAATATTTTAAGACACATTTGTTTTATATGTCACTATAGCATTGAACATTGAAAAAAATGAAAATAAAGTTTCTGCAACATATTACTATCGCTGAATTATACTTGCTTATACTTGTTTCTAGAAAGGGATTGAGTTAATAATTAGCAAAGTACTGCTGAAAGTTAACTAAATGGATCTGTCATGCATTACTGAAGAGTATAGTGCAAATAATGTGCCTCAGCACACAGATGATTTAAATCGGACATGGCTTTGTTGTATTTCTCCCTAAAGGTTTACTCATTTCCTAAGGAACTTAGCCCAAAACAAAAGACCAATCACAAAAGACCTACTTCAGAAAAACTCAGATCTCTACATAATGTGAAGTTCTGGTCCAATAATTTTGTTTATTATAACGTTTCTGAGCAATCATAGTTGTGCTGGTTTGTTTAATTATTTTTTAGAACACAGTGTGGCAGCAATAAATTCACATTTTCAATTCCACTGTTTTCGCGGACTCTGAAAGCAGCACAGAATGATTTCCTCTAGTCAGAACTTCAAAAACAGCTATGCTCAGTTCAGTGGCTGTTGGAAGCACCTGGACATTTTCTAACAGCTGTTTTTTATCATTTTATTATGTCTTTGCTGTTTTTAAACCTGATTTTTAAATGCCCCTCAGAGTTAGACTAAATGACCTGGTGTGGAAGTCAGTTCCCTGAGCTGAATTATGTGAATTTCTTGTGTCTCCTCTCTCAAAATCATACCTTTGCAAACAATTCCTGTTGTTGTCTGAGGAGCTCTTCTTCAGGGATGCCCAGGTTCTCCAGTCTCGAGCTGGCCTTCCTCCTCTTCAGAGCAACAGTTTTACATTCCTGCAGGACGTCTTTCACCTCCGTGATGTACGATGCGAAACCGAGGCTCTCGAGCGCTGCGGTGCGAAAGCAAGAGGCGAAAGTGTTTCAATCACTCTCTGTGGTTTAAGGCTCATTACATGGTGCTGCACACACATACACACACCTTTCAGGGTATAGGGAAAACAAAGCTGGACTCACCGTTGATGACATGCTCTGGGGAAATGGTTTTCTTCTCCGACTTGTTGCATATATCATTGGCTTCTGAGGATATGAGGTGGATGAACTCTGTGCAGCAGTTAACAACAAGCTCCCTGGCATCGTTGGCCACCCGTACATTGGGGAGAGTTTCTTTAATCATTTTGTTGATAGCTGCTCTCGGGATGGTGAGGTCGTCGTCATTTCCAGAGGAAGAAGCCATCGTGGCAGTCGACGGGACAGAAACCAGGGGAAAAAGAAAGAGAAACTCCGATACTCGACGGAAGGAAACTGTTACGAGGCCTTCTCGGGCCGGCAGAATTAAAATATAACAGTCAGGTCAAGACAACGTCAACGTAGAGTTAAATGTCATATGGGAGAGTGACGTTCCTCCAAGTTAGCCGGCTAGCTTAGCTAGTAGCTAATAGTTGAAACAATTTTCGCAGAGTGGAGCCTTTGTGCGGAACGTGGTAGAAAAGAAACCGTTAGAAAACGCTAAAGCACATACACCATAAAAGAAGACAAAACGTTAATACTGTGTGGAAAATGCTTAGCTAGCTAGCAGCCAGGCTAGCTAGTAGCTGTGGTCCCTGTCGCCAGAAAGCCGCCGCAACGCAAAAGACAAGTGAAAGCGGAGAGCATGGCTACCGCTAGGCTAACAATGAAGTGCCTCCCGCATGGCTAAACAGTTAGCTGCATAGACACAGAAACGGGACACACGTGCCACAACACTGCCTGTTGTTCTACCCTGCATCGAGAGATGATTTGGACATTTTAGATAAGCAGAAATATGGTATCGATTCGTTTATACGTTTGAAATGTGGGCAACATTAGCTTAATTCAGTCCGGATGCAACGTCAAACAAAGAGCCGGATACCCTTCTTCTTCTTTGGTGTTTAAAGCCTGTCTGAATCGCATTGCTGTGGCCTTGTGGTATTTGTCGTCCATTACTGCCCTTAGAAGATATGTTTGGAGAATTATACAGATGGTGGAAAAACATCGAGATCAAAACAAATAAACTGAATATGTACTTTTTTACATTATCTATATATTTTGATGGTAGCTAATATTTCGTATACAGTCAGAGGACCGAATCCCATATGCACCTCACATCCAAAACATAAAAGATGAGGACAATCCATAGCTGATTGTGTGAGTTTTATATCCAGGTATGTTTTTACTTAAATCTTAAAAAAAAATGAAGCTGTTGCCAATCAGATGCTTTCTAGATGGTCTTGTTGTACCCATCTCCCGAATTTCACTTTTTTGTTTGTTTTTCATATTCACCATTCCATAATACCTGTTTCCATTGATCTTCAGTCCAGTTCAGCAATTTCTCCCTGTGTCCATAATTCCAGTGAAACCTCTTCTAATGAAGCTTCTGTTCATGGATCAACTGATAGTCTTTGCTGGGGTTTTTTGTATTAAGGACATGATTTCCAGAGACTTTTCATTTGCTGTACATAGTTTTTCAGACCTTCCACTTCTTCTTTTGTCCTCCACTTGTCCAGTTTTCTCAACAACAACAAAAAAAAGCACACAGTGCCGCAATATGCCAGGTTTTCGCCTAATAGTTCAGTGGGATTTATATTGTTGGTGCAACAACACAAATTATGTGCTTTGGTGACAGGCTGCTAGTAACAAAGTGCCTAAAGACATCGTTTAGAATGGGTTCTTTGCTAAGCTGTCTGTTATGTGTTTACACAACACTGGTTCGTGTAGTGAACCAGTATCTTTGTACAGTACTGTATGTTACCCTCATGTGGTAAACATAATTATCAAGAGCATCTCTTTTAACCCTGTTATCTCCTCCCCGGAAGGGTACGTCTGATAACGTGTCTACTAATGCTTTTTCATGTATATTTTTCAGCACAAGCACAGATCTTGCTGAAACAAATTTGAGCCGCAGTCATTTATGGCCCTATTTCTGCAATAATTGTCTATTTTATTTTTGGATTTATCAGTGTTCAGCAGCATCCAGACTGGTTTCACAGATGTTTGAATTTCCTTTACTGTCATCTAGTGTCCATCAAGAGAATACCAGCTTTTATTTTATTATTTTCTTTTTATATTCTAACATGATCAATTTTCTAACCAAATCCTGTCAATATCCTACAAAAAATAAATAAATAAAAGTTTTCTCACATTAAAGTCCATGTGGCGCGAGGCTCAGAATTCAGCGGCTATATTCCAGATTAAGCCATGAGTAATTATGTTATGTAATCCAGCAGATTAAGATAAGATAAAATAACCTTTATTAGTCACACACAAGATTATGTAAGATATACATAATCTTCTGACACTGTAACAGAACCCATTAACAAAACAATGCTTTTAAAAAGACAAAAAGTTCATAAATTAGTCGTTATAACTCTGAACTACCTGATTTACTTTGATTTAATCTTGCTGTTCGTATAGCTTTGCTTGCTTCCCATATTACACAAGGCTCAAGGGCTTGTCAACTTAAGACAGTTATGCCACTTGAATAGACCAGGGTGTGGTTTAAACCTGCAAGAGCTTACTGCCACGTATGAAAAGAGACTGCATTGTCATGGCATTTCATAGCTTTATTTATTTCAGGGAGGTAACACTGCTAGACAATAACAGCCAAATATGCCCATGTCACAAAAATAACAAAGATATGACATGATTCAGTTGCTCTTCTCTAACTTAAAACTCTTTCGGCTTCTCCACTGCAAAAGCTTGATGAAGTTCAGGCTGGCCGTGAAGACCTTGTCGTGTTCAAACACCATTTTGTAAAACGTTTCAATCGGGAGGTCACCATTTGGGTCAGCGTACTTGAGTGTGGTCATAGGGGTATAGAGAGTGTTTGTCTGGTGCCGGAAAGGGGGATTGTCCATGATGAGGATCTTGAGGGTGTGCTATGAAGAAAGATCATTCATAATATAGTTTATTGCTCTTGTAGTGCATTAAAGGTTAAAGGTGAAGTATTTGCCGAACGATACCTCTGCCACGTCCTCAGGAGTCTGTCCGAGGGTTTCAAAGATCTGTTTGTAGTTCTTTAAGTAGACATTTGTGAACATGTCAGCAGTCACTTTGTCTGCTTTGCTGAGATCAATCTTTAGGCCCTCGTCATAAACCTTACGCTCAAACTCGGTTATCACTGGACCTGGCTCTATCAGGCTGATGCTGAGGAAGAAACAGAAGAGAAGAAGATTAAAAAATCTCTTGAAATAGGAAACTGAAATTCAGTGCACAACTGTGAAAGGTAATTAAATATTACTTTCATTATACAGGAAACTTTAGAAACCACACTAATATTCAGTTACCATTTGATACTGTGTTAGAACATGCCTAAACATCACAGTGTGCTGTGGTTCAAATATTTCCCTCCTAATGGTGCAGAAAGTGCTAGGTGTTGTTGTTCAATATGACTTCACAAATATACCAGATGCAAGGGCTAGTTTTCAGGTAGTTACATTTTGGTTGCACTTTTTTTCTCTCACAAACATGCTAGTAAAAGATGAACAGGAATAAAACATTATAGACTTAGCATCTTACTTTAGACCAAACCTCAGGGCTTGTATCGCTAGGCTTTCACAAAAGCCTTCCAATGCAAACTTAGATGCTGCGTAGATATCGTTGAATAAAATCCCTGAAACAGGGAAAGAAGTTGTGAAGCAACTGTCTTAAAAAATGTTCTCATGATCAGCAGGTGAAGCAGCTCTTACCCTGAATCCCCATGACGCTGCTAATGACCACAATATGACCTTTTTTCCTTCTCTTCATGTCGGGCAGGATTTCCTTCATTAATCGCACAAGTCCAAAGAAGTTGGTGTCCATGACACTTTTCATCTCTTCAATAGACTGACACTCAATGGGTCCAATCAGACCCATCCCAGCATTACTTACTGTGAAATAAGGTCACACAGACACATATCATTTAAATTTCCACAGACGGTCGAAAAGCCAAAGTAATACTGTTTCGAAGCAAATGGTAGGAGCTTACTGAGAATGTCTACCCTGCGCTCAGGCAGACTGTCCACGCAGGCTTTGATGGAAGCCTCGTCACATACGTCCAGCTGCTTGATCTCCAAGGTCCGGCCCAGGGTCCGACCTGCTGCCTCAACCAGAGGCTCAGCCTTACTCAGATTTCTCATGGTGGCATAGACTACAACAACAAAAACTCATCTGAAGCTGTTGTATTTTTATTAAATTTAGAACTGAAATTAAAATTTTACATTACATTTGAGAAACTATCACAAAAATTATCTCCACCAGGAGCAGCAAATGTGGATTTTTCTCAGATTTCAACTTTCAGGTGTTGCCTGTTACATCAGTACGGCATGGTTACTAGTTACTCAGGGTAATCAACAGACCAGGAGGACCATTTCTTCCATAAAACATGTTTAAGATAAAAAACTGTTGATGGTGAGCTGTATGGATTGTTTCTGGAACCAGAGTTAAAAAAAAAAAAAAAAAAGAACTTGTCAATATTTTGCTTGTAGAAGAAACCCATCACATATTGATAATGTACATAATGTGAATTTTATCAAGTTAATATCCTTCTAGTTAATGGTTTCAAACTGGTATCACATTTGCACAGTTAACTTTAATGAATAGTCTGCAAAGTATTAATAGTAGAAATTCTTGAGCCAGACACAGCAGCCATGTAAAGTTCAAGGAAAGTTCAAGTACATGTGAGATGGTAATATTTTAAAACATCCAACACACTTCCAAAAAATTCAAAAGGAAAACACATTTTTACACCATTATGTGCTAGTTTTTTTTCACATAGTTCCTCTAATTTCTCTCATTTGAAGCATTTTCAATCACAATTTAAATACATTATATTTTTCTTTGATCCCTCCACACCTGACACAGAGTTTTGAAATGTAGTCAACAACCCCAGCTATCTTAGAAAAAGTCTGTTAAAAAGTTACCCATGAACCTCTTCTTCTCATCTTTTGCAATATGGACAGCCAATGCGAGGCCAATCCCAGAGGAGCAGCCGGTGATGAGTACCACCTTCTGGTTCATCGTGCCTGGTTAGTGCTTTTCTTGCAGCTCCAGCAGTAGAGAATAAAACGGGAACAAAAGAGGAGAGGCAACAGACCACATGCGGGCACTTTTAAAGCCCCTTCCTTAATCAGAGGTTTACAACTCAGCAAAAAGCTGTGTGCACATGGTCTGAAGATTAGTATCATTCGTGGCATTCACATGGTGCTGTTACACGGTGAGGATTTAGGCTAATGATAAGTCCAGTTGTAATATGAAGAAAATATCAGACCTATAAGCAAAGTGCATCATCTTATTTAAATCAAATAAAATACAATCAGACAATGGTGAAATATTTTATTTAAATTTGGAATTTCCCACAAATTGTTTTGCAACAAAGACAGCAAAAAGTAAATTCTTTGTAAAAATATGGAGAAGTTAATTTGTGGTTTTTAAAAGAATCTATTTAAAACACAGTTTGTAGTGTAGTGGGTTGGGTTTTTTTTTAAAGTAGATGTAAAGTAGATGAAAAAAAACATTCATTGCTGTAGCAAATAAAACTTTCTCAACATTGTATTTTTTTTTACTGTGGGCTGTGAATTATTAAATTCAGTTTTTTAAATATGTACCCTACTGCTCAAAGTTTTGAGATAAAAAATAATTTTTGAAAATTAAAGTCAAGTTGATGAGAAATGCTATTAATATTTAACATGAACATTGGTTTTTTTTAATATCTATGCTGACACACACAGGCCCGTTTTCACCAACTGCCATTCATCTGTTGTAATAGCACGCTGAGTCACCTAAAGCAAGTCTATCCCATTAAATTCATTAATCATTCAATTACAATCATCTCAGCACATCTAAAGTTTGTGAAGCTGAGTCAGTGAGTTTGGTTATAGTCTCAAGTAAACAAAACAAAAAAATTACGTGTAGTGCTTTTACAAAACAGGAATAAGTGGCTCTGACTGAAAACTAGAGAGCACAACTGAGTAGGACAGCTAAATCAGAAACCTTTTGGTTCCAAAACAGACACCTCACAGGTCCTTAAATGACAGATTCATTAAATGATATCTCCAAGAGCCAAATTTTGTTGGTTTGTCATGAGAATACCTAAAGCTGCTGTATGAAAATTTCAGTTATCTGGTCATTTTCTCCTATAGCCTCAAACAGCCTTCATTTATTAGAAAAACTTTAAGATGATACATTTTCTTTGGGTTACACATGTTACTGGAACACAGCACTGACAGCTGCTGAAAAGAGCCTGAATGCACTTATGTAGATATTGCCTTAAATTAATTATTACTTCTCTTCTATAACATTTATGAAGATTGTAATGTTATTTTGTGTAAAAGCCAATGTACTTTTCTTTTCTTAAACAGTAGCTTGACTATATATATATATATTTTTTTTTTTTTTACTCTGAAAAAATGGGTTGGAAATCGGATGGGTTACGTTTTAACCTGCACCACAGCTTCAAGCACATATTTGCATCTGCACTTCACCTGCAGAGAAGTTCCATCTTAGGTGCCAATTTATGCTTTAAGGTCAACAAAAAATGGCAAACATCAAAACTATCCAGATTTTTCAGAGATGCTTAAAATATGCGTTTATTCCAATTTAATTCTACTGGGCATAAAGATTTTGGGACCACATCTTTGGGTCCCAAGCTTGGAACCATCCGGTGAAGGACGGGATCTCTTCCCCCTGCTTAAGGATGGTGATCGGGGTACCACGGCGGCCAGAGGGGTCTGAATCCACATATTGTTTGGCTGAAAGGAAAGCAGGATGCATTTGTGAACTGAGGTCTCTTCTGTACAGTAGGCTTAAAGGGCCATTCACTATAACCACATTCAAATTGGAGCTAAAATTATAGGAAGAGTGGTAAATTTAGAAATGAATGTAAAATAATATTATTTAATATTCTTTAAAATTATTCAGTCATAAATTTGCAAGATTAAAATCTTAAATGTCCAGCAAAAATATTTTATTCTCTGAGAATAAATCAACAAATTTACAAACAACATAATATGAGAAAAAACAGTCTTAAATTTCTGAGATTATAGTCAAATTTTTGAGAAAATAAATTTGTAAATTAATAATCTCAAATATTAATCTAAAGAAATTGTTTTTAGGTAAATTTGGTCATTTCCTTACTCATAAATTTACAATAGTTATCTCAAATAAAATATATTTGCTATCAGAATTAATATCTATAATTCAAGCCTTATTTTCTGGGAAAATGATTCCCTCTATATATGTTTTTATTCTCCCTGAATTGACCCCGTTGCTGTATTTCTGTAATTCCTTCTCATGTCTACCGGTAATAGTTTTCTCTTACCCATCTTAGGTGATTCAAGTTTCTCCGTTTCATTTGCTTCGTTTCCAATCCAAACAAAGATCTGATGGGAACAGTAATCAAAGAGCTCAAGGATAAAAAGGAGGAAAACATCAACTAGCTACAACTCGAGTCTTTCATCAAAAGTGCTTTTATACCTGATCCCATGTGTCCAGAATCATGACATCATCAGTGGCCAGATCGATCTGTGAGAAGTCCCCGGGAACTTCCTCAACCTGAAAATTGATCAGCACACAATTACAAAGTGGCCATTTAAAAATTGTTAAACTAGTTGGTAAGAAAATAATATAACTGTTTATATAAATATAACTACTTACATTTTAAAAATCTGATTGATGAACACTTGAATACTCACTGTTAGCCTGCCAGTTTTGTTTGAACATCCAAACAGTCGTGGTTGTCGGACCACTCCCTGAAGGGCCTTGGACGTCTGGTATTCTTTCTTACCACCCAGAGCAGCCCAGAAAACAGCTGGAAACAAGGAGAAAAGGACCGTTTTCTACTGGGGACATCTCACAAATACTACTTTGTGGAAATCAAAGCTCTTTACCTGGCTCCTGTGTCTCCTCCACCCCAGTAGCAGTTCCTCCAAGGAGGCTGGCAACATAGTTAGCTGCAGCCATCTCATCTGAACTTGCACCCTTTCCCTTCCACAGGAAAAGGCAATCAGGAGTCTTCAGCACAAACACATCATTGGTGTTCAGAGAGGATGCAGTGGGCTCCACCTGTGTGGGTGTGACAGAAAGATGAGTGGAGGGAGGAGTGGTGGCATCTGTTCATTATAAAGAACCAGTTTATTAACATTCAGTGTAAAAAATGAGGCTGACCTCAACAGCTCGTGTGGTATTGTTGCCGCTCTTGCGGATATGAAAGAGCCGTGTGCTGCTTGGCTTAGTCTCGCCACACTTGCGGGATGTCCCACCCTGATGGATGACCATGGGCTTGTCCTTAAACAAGCTCACAAGATGGGGGGGTTCTTTACCTTGAGTGACCCGAACCTGCGGAGATACAGCCACACAGTCATTCAAATTGATGAGGAGACTGATCCCAGACTTATCTCTAAGTACAGCTGGGAGCTGGTTAATAGGAGCTCAGGGTAAAGACTGAAAACAGGGGACAGCAGTTCCTCTGTATGAAGGTTAAAAACATCAACCTACCTCTTGTTCTCCAGTTTGTACAGTTTGTATACTAAGCTAACAGCTGCAAGATGCCAAGGAGGTCATGTTTTTGGTAGTGTCTGCATGCATGTCATCGTGTCAGTTTGTAAACACAATAGCTCAAACATTATTGAATGAATTCTGATAACCTTTTGTAGGTGTGTTGAGTGGGGTCATGTTAACACTCCATTAAAATCTGGTTTAAATCCACCAAAGTCTTCAAGGTCAACTTAATGATTTGTTGGTTGAAAATGGAAAAAAAAAAAGCCTGCTAATGTGAATGATTTTGCAAGTGTGTTGTGTATTTTATTGCTTCTTGTTCATAATATAAAAGATGGACCTGAGAGTTGCATCATTCCTTTCACTAACTGTTGCCAGGTACTTTTATTTCTTAACATTTTAACTCTTACTTGAAATCTGGAAAAATCTTACCTGTGTTGCTACTCCATCCATGGAATCATCCAGCTTGACGGTGAGGAAGGCCGAAGCAGTCAGTTCATCCTGAGTGCATTTCTGCCCTTGCCTACAGCAAGCAAAATTAAGCACAATTAAATATGATATTCACAATTAAGGCATAAAAGTAATGTTTCAAAAACTCTTGATTCTCTCAGCACCCTCACACAGCTTACAAAAACACTAAATACATAAACTGACTACCCACAATTATATTTTATTATTTTACCACAAGTTTAAGAAATCATTAATGTTGTTGTTTGTTTGTTTTTAATCACAATGTCATGAGATTTCAGCAGTACTATAACTGGTAACTGTTTTCATTCTGTGGCATCATCATATCAGACAGACAGAATGGATGTGATGAAATTTGTTACATTTGCATTCCACTCTCAGATTATATTAATATTGGCACTCATCTAATTCTAGAAACATTAAAACTGCTTTAGGCTGATTCAGAAGGGGTCGGCATAGCAACCTCAAAGGGGATTGTGTCTCCTCCCAGGATTTTAAAATCATTAATGGGTCAATGTGTATAAACCCTGCCTAACATGCCAGCAACTGAACAATCCCACCAGCTTTGATCACTTTCATTTATTGGTTCACCTACGAATTCTGCATCATATTAAAGAGTGCTTGAAGATAAAGCAAAATTTCTCTATATCAAGGCCAAAGCCTTCATGAATAAAAAGCTTGTTACAAAGACCAGTATGCTCTACAACTCAGTGGCTTTACTTCTGTGTGTGTTGTGTCACAAGTTCATATCATGCTTACATTTTTCATTCACCTAAACAGAGAAAGTGAGTACCAAGCCAGGAATCTTTGCCTTGTACCCCTTAAAAGACCAATTCTGCCACATTGAGCATGTTTTACGCACCAGGTGTAAATGATGTGCTTCTCTCTGCTTCCACTGTTGTAAGAGTACAGCACCAAGTAACAGTCACCTCCAAAGAACTGTCCATAGGTGGATTTGTCCACTGCTACCTTATCGCCTCCTTCCACACGCCAAATCTGCAGACATCCACCAATGTTGCATTTACTTATTAATTTTTAAAATAAATAAAACACTGTCAAGCTGGTTACTGTACCTGAACTTTCCCAGAGCCATCATCAACCACGCCATACTGGGCAGCCATGGCGGGGTTGTTGTGGAGATTGGATGGGTCGAAGGGAATCTGCTCCACCTTGGCAATACGACCAACTGTGTGGGTCTGCCCTGGGCCTGTGATATTCCCTTCAAACCATTTGAAGAAGAACTGCTTAAACATGGTGGGCTCACTCCCTGCTGGCACTATCAGGACCTGCACATGACATAATAAACAACAAAAAACACGTTAAGTCATAAACACAATGAGACAGCAGAAGGATGAAGTTCTGGCAGCAGATGATCACTACATGCTAACATTACCTGAGTTTTACTGGAGTAATTTTTGTCTGCGATAAACTTGTCAGCAGCAGCCTTCGCTGCTTTGCGCTCCTCTTTACTTGCTTTCTGTCCTGCAGATTAAAGTTTGGTACAGAGATCAGAGAGGTTAAACTGGTCAAATCAAAGTCAATGACTCATGTGTGTTTAACAGTAGAAACCATCAAATGGTTCATTATGATTCTTTTAAAAATTGTGTAACTCTGTTAAAATAAATCCACATCATTACATATTTCATGATTTTTTTCCTATAAAGGGCTTGTTTATCAAACAGGAAATTTGGGGGTCTGTAGGAAAAAGCTTTATGACCACATATACCTAGAACCACATATTTCCATATGAAAGCTGCTCAGTGACAGAGGGGGTATAGCTCAGTGGTAGAGCGTTTGACTGCAGATCAACAGGTCCCCAGTTCAAATCTGGGTGCTCCCTGTTCATTTAAGTCATTATTGCAATATGATAACTTTAAGTGTTATCCGTTTATAGTAATTAATATATTTAAAATTTATGTTTTTTGTAGACAGCTATGAGGTCAGTCATGAAATATCACCAATGAGTTGTTTGATCTCTTTCACAGTGAGCTCAAATTCAGTTTTAGCGTTTCCTAATAACAGTCTTATTCTATAATTATTTGTTGCACCTTTTTGTTTATTAGTTTATTCTAATACACATTTTATCTGTACAATCCATACTGATCCGCATGTAAAAATTTATATTAATTATATTTCTTATTTGATGACAACTAATCTTCAAAAAAAGGGAAATTTTTCTTTCCCAATATTGCTGTTGCAGGATGGGGTCAAACTGACACCCACTGACAGTACTTGGGGTTTAAAATTCTTCTAGGTTCTAGCGTTAAACAAAGAGTTTAACGCTAAAGAGAGTTAGTAACAACTTACTCAAATGAGCAGAGACTTGATTAATATAGTAGATGAGAAGTTGTAGAAATAAACAGATGTAAAAGCTTAATACCTTTCCAGACAAATATATTATTATTCAATCCATTGTCCAAGATGTAGCAATCATTCTGGTTGAGCATATCTTGTTTGAATGGGTTTTTATCAGCCACCAAAGATGTCTTCATGGCACCAGCAGCATCAGATATCTAGACAGCAGAGAGATCAGAGCATCTGTATTTGTCATCTGAATGTCTTATTTACAAGGATCATTTCAAGGGACCATACACTACGGTTGAAAGTCTGACAGAGTCTTAAATAATCTCTCATATTTTCATCTAAACCTTGAAATGATCCCATAGTGTTAAATTACAGAAACCTATACACAATCCACACAGGAAGGAATGAAGAAAATCAAACATTTAAGTTTTTCCTCTATTGTTAGCTAGATCTGATTCATCAGAAGCACATGGTATAGTGGCATTAACTATGCTTGACTGCCTTGTGTACAAAGCAATACACAACGCAGGTAGGATTTCCACTGAAGCAGCATTCAGATAAAACTGTATTACAAAGAACAGTTGAAACGTTTTAATTGATTCATTAGAGGCGTGTTGAGGGAAATCACCTTGCAGCCACTGCACCTCTTTTCAGCACAGTGAAATCAAACTCAGCATCAACTCTGCACTTGAATGAGGGCTTCAGTTTTAATGGGCTTTTCCATGACAATATGAAGAATCTGTGGAAATTGTAGCATCAACCACAATCGCGCAGACTACAGGTAAGAGAGAATGCAATCAGCAAAAGTCTTGCCAGCAGAAGGCTGTGCAGGGGAGATCTCAGTGCATGGATGGATAGCATCAGGGGTAATAAGAAACCCACCATCATTTATTAACCTATACTGTGCTAAACATTTAAGATGGGCTGAGATCTTTAAGAGCATTTCTTCCTCAATCACCTGATCTCAACTCCACTGGATGTATTTTGGGCACATGAAGACTGAGAAACCCCCGAGGCTCTTTAAAACACAATGGCAGGATAACATGAAAAATCAGGTGTTACAAAGATTTATAGCGTCCATGGAGCTTGAGGGCTGCAAAACTGGAGCAAATCAAATTCGTGGACATTTTTTTTAGAAATAGAACTTCTGATTTAAGCTGTTCAGCCAACATGAAATTTTGCAATAGAAATGCCTTTTACTAGACTAAAAATGAATACAAGTAGAAGTTTTTTCACTGCTGCTCCTTGACTTTTTGGGCTTCTCTGTATGTGTGTATTTACCAGATAAAGTGACGCCTTGTTCCTGTTTGTCTTTTCAACATCTGTATCACTGCCTCCTGGTGCGAGATCAGGCTTGGGTCCAAGTACCTATAATGAATACAACATTGTACTTAACATCCTCTCTAGCCACCAAATGAGACAAATAACTTATTTGTTACAGTCACAATGATTCTAAACAAGGAGGAAGTCACTAAAACTTACCTTTGTCACAGCTTCTGGCTCTTTACCTTCATCAATTGTATGGACTTCACCGCGGCCATTTCGCTCATTATCACGAATATCTCGGGCCATCTGAGTGGTTTTGAGCTTCTCAAAGTGATTTGCTTCACTGCCAAACCAGCAGTAAATGTTCTATTAATTCACAGAGAAGATGCAAAGAAAAGAAGAAGTAAATAAGGTTGAGATGACAAAACGCAACATCTAAACTCTGTACGATCTCTGTAAAACATTTTAAATTGTAGATCACCTTTCCCAGATCAATGATGAAGGAGTCTCCTTTGTTAAAGCTTTGCCAGGACAGATCCTCCTCAGTTGCTCTGACTGGTCGACGACCTTTCAAGTGCAGCAGGCGTTTGACATCTACATCATTGGTTACCACATGTTTAAAGCCTGAGGCAACTCCACCTTTCTGTGTTAAAAAAAAATCTGAGTTATGCTCTGTGTAAGTGATCTAAGCGCATAAGTTATGTTTTGGTAGCGTACCGTATAGAGTACGCTATTTGTTGCACCTTTTTGTTTATTAGTTTATTCTAATACACATTTTATCTGTACAATCCATACTGATCCACATATAAAGATTTAAAATATTGTGTCACATCTGACCCCTGACCTCTCCTGCAAGGCCAATAGATTGATAGGAAGCCAAAGTGATACTAATGCTAAATACAGCTTTTTAAATCTATTTCTTACTGACATTTTTCCCCCTCCTGGACCTCTGACCTGTTCTTCAAGGTCAAACTTTAATAAAAATGTATTTTATCTTTAAAACAGTACTTAAAATTCTACTATATTTGTACTGGCAAAAGTAAATGACACTGGTATACTGGGATCTAAATATCACATTATAGTTTCCATCCAAGTAGCATGTCTTCTTTGACCTGTGTCCTCACTTTTAAATTTTAGATCTGCCTTTCTTTCAAGTTGACTGAAAAGCATGTTATATCTTTAAAGAAAGTACTGTCAGTAGAAAGAAGATGACCTGCCTAGTTAGTTAGAAATAGACTGTAGTATAATATAATATAATATGCTAAAGTTATTCATGTCCACTTATTTACAAATCAATAGCTTTTATCCATTACCTACTCCTGTATAATCTTTTAGTAATCAAGGTACCCTTAACTGATATACAAAATAGAGCACAGTGAGCTGCTTATAGAGGAGGTCTGCACTTTCGGAGTGCTTTTTATATGAACGTTTTAGAAAGCTGACACCGCTGTTCTGTCTGTAGTTGCTCTAGTTCAAGAATTCACTTCTTTAAAGTCAACATAATCTCTAAAGATCACGCCTACTCGTTTGTTTACACTGTGCACAAAATGTCAGCAAATCCTACCGCTGACTGGAAAAAGACATAAATAAAAGGCTAGAGCAGGTATGGCAAACCTGACAGACAACTAGCTTTGTTTCTAGGAAGTCAGTTCCTAGAAACAGTCCAGCACATAAATACACAGTATGCTAAACATAAAAAAGTATGTAGTCTTTGATTCTGAAAAGTGAAGCAAATGCAGGTGCTTTGAATTGTCATGATGATTGAAAACACAAGTTTCCGTGCCATTTTCATTCCAATAAGCACTGTTCTTATTCATATCTCAATAGTTTAAGTAGCACAATAGTTGGACCTTTTTTCGCTCTCTGTTTTTATTTTATATACTAGTCCTTTAGTTCTTAACACAGTTTCATAACCCAGTGCTAAGAGGCAGGAAAACTAGTTCGTAACCAGGATTTCCCCTCTTTGAATGAACAAGTGGTGTAAAAATGCAGGGAATCTTCTTTATTGAATTCCACCATCCATTTAGTTCTGGTCCTCTAGTTATCATACTTATACAGGATGATCAACAATATGCAATAAAGTAATAATTTCTTAAAAATAGTTCTAAACCCAGTATTACTTCTTGTGACAGCTTTGGCTATGGTAGATAGGGGTTTAGCTGCATAAACATGTGGCTGACAAATATGCACGAATGATATGAAGCAATCATGATAACATCGAGCATTATCTCAAACAGCTGTTTTCAGGTCGTAGCAGGTCGTAGCAATTACTAAGGCAGTTCTAATGCTGGAGATTGATCAGTGAGTCTAAGGACCCTGTTAAAACTGTGAACACATAAAAAAGAAGTAAATACAGAATTAAAAGATGGTGCCTTAATCATTTAAATGGTTTATGCTCATATATTACATTTCAAGGAAACCCAGGTGTTCACCAAACTTCTCAAACCTGAGACTTATAGAATGTGTTCTTTAGAATGGACAGCATGACACCATAATATTCAACATAATATTTTAGGTCTCCCTGACTATCTAAATGTTTTTAGACTCAAATTCTCATAATATAAAGAAAGATTTCAGACTCTTGTATGTCGCCATGTTTTGCCTCTCCTTTTCCAGGAATTGTGAAAGGGAAAAATTCTTTTGGGCCAGTGTGTATCACATGATAAACAGAGAAGGTGTTATAACATGCCTCGAATCCTGCACACAGTGACTATACTCCTCTGCTTGTCCTGAAAAGACCTGCTCATGTCTAACAGGGGGGGAAAAACCCTGTTTAAAGGACAAATTCAAGGAAGAATGATCATTCCATTTCCTATGACAAACAAGAGCAAGGTCCCAGTCAGACTAGTCGCTCATTTTGGAGTCGCGTGGGTGGTGAATTATGACTTTTTAGAGCTGTTTCCTTGCCTGAAGCTGTAACAGTATATTTACAGAGTTGACAGACATGCAATAAACTGTCACAAAGTCACAGTCATGGTTTGGTAGCTTAGACTCACAACTTTTACCTTTCTGAGGCAAACAAATTCAAATGACTTATACCACCATAAGTACGCATGCAAATTTCACCTTGTATTTGATGCCAGACTTGAAGTAGCCCAGGAAGGTGGTTGACTCTTGGTTTTGAAATTCATTGTACTGGATTGCAGCTCCTTTCAGGTGGTCATCCAGCTGAGTTATGAAAATGGCAGCTGCCCCACTCTCATCCTGGGAAGCTTCATCGCCTAAGATAAAAAGGATGGTAAATAAACAGTGTGGAAAATAAAACAGAACATTGACAGGGAGGGAATTTAGCTATTAGGTTGTCAGCAGAGAATCCAATACCAATCCATGAATGAACATTGTATGAGGGAGCCTTGGTGGTGTAAAGCAAGATGTAAGCATCTCCGGTGAAGAAGTCTCCATAGAGTGCAGGGGGAACAGGTTTCAGATCCATGTTCTCCACCCGCCACACCTGCAGGCCAGGCTTCTTCCCTGCAGTCTCAAACTCTTTGTGTGCCATCGTGATGATGAGGACCTGAAAGGTGATTTGTCTTCATTAAAATCTTCAGGTCACAGCAAGGCCAACAGCTACCATTATATGACTTTTGGTTGGCAAAAAGAAGCAATTTTCACATCATTCTCTGACAATTTAGAGACTCAGCAATGAAAATAATCGATTGTTGGAGCCCCAGTTTTATATATAAATAGATATAAAATCTGCCTTCATACTGAAAGCTGCTGATCCCCACTTTCTTTTAAAGCCATCTGTAGTTCACATCACAACATTTTATATTACTATTTCAGTTACTTTTCATTGAATCCATGTTTGTTAAGAATGCAATTTTCAAGACCTTTTCTGCAGTTTCTGTTATTTAACCTGTAACGCAGGTGCTTGCGCTGCTTAATTAAGCTGCGGTCGGTACGCATATCACAAGGTGTGTCTGCTCTCAGTGGCAAACTATGTTGTGGGGGAACGAAGAGCCGCTCCCAACAAGCAACCACAAAAGCAGGCATTTGTAGGTTATCTTCTGCCTGTATAATACGGTACTACTACCTTGTGCAGTTTTCTACCCAACCATGTAAAATATGGACACATGGAAAAATGCAATAAACAACAGTTTATCGACGAAATTTATATTAAAAGCTTAACCAGTAAGAAGATAAGCACGTTTATTCACGCATTCTCTCTTTATCCTCAACGTAACTAGTTACAGACACTGAAAATAGTTTTTAGTTGACTTCCTTAATGCAAAATGAGGAAGAGCTTTTCTAGAGTAGCATACTTCAGCATTGTAAGCATCGCTTTATAAATGCTGTGTGAAAGGCTAACTGCCAGCGAGTTATTAGGATTCGTTGTGCAGCACATAAGAAAACTTTATATTACCTGGTATAGACCGTAGACAGATGTTGGGTGTTAAGAAGATGCGCTGCTGCTCTTCCAGTTCTCCGCCCTGGTTTCCTGAGCTGTCCTCTGCTATATAGGCTGGACAAACATCCGCGTTGAGAGAGGCGTGTCAGTTCGCCCATCCCAGAACAGCGGGTGATGGAAAACAACGCCCTTGAGTTGGTTTAGTTGTTTTGAATGTTTTTTTTTTTCGTCTTGAAAGCCCAGTATGCAGGTCAGTTCCGTATTCTCCCTTCCCTATTTCGATTAAATTGGAGCGGTGAATTTCTACCAAATTTCATTTTTTATGTTATTATCTATGTATTATTTATGTATCTTACAGCTTTAGATGCTGAATACTATATAGTTTGTAAAGTGTAAAGTGTCTGATTATAGCCCTGTTTTGGGCAGTGCTAAAAAAAGCTCCACCTCTTCCAACATTCGTGTCTGAATGTTCATGTACCAGCAATACTGGTTGTACAACACAACAAAAACAACTCAAACAAAGTCTCTCATTTTACTGGTGGGGGGGGATTTGTTTACTTTTAATGCAACACTTGAATGAGTGACATTTAGTGTTATGGAAGAGGGTGGTTTGACTGGAGCCACCTTTGATGAAATCCATGCATTTATCCATAAAGTGTGTGCATTAGGTGTGGAAAAACTTTTAACTTTTATTTAAGCCAACATTTTCTTTTTCATTGAGAAATTCATAAAGTCATACTGAAGAAATACTTGGAGTGACAATTAAATCCTTATCTCATATTACAAAAACGTTTCAAATTCCAACAAAGTGGTCCAGAAAAATATAATACAATACAATAAATACAATAACGTCTCAAAAGGATCAAAAACAGGATGCTGAATCATCTCCTTCCGAAATCCTAATTAGACCTGTAATGGCAAGAACAGCTGTCCTTCTTCTGGAAGCAAATGGATTGTATGACCAGTGATTGAAAAAACTGAGTTGATGTAGCAATCACATAGTTGGTTGGGGATGCATTTGAGTTTGGGGTGTGATCGCGTGTCACTTGTCTGTCAGCAGCTTAAGTTAGCGACCACTCGGACTCCCATGTGGCAGCTTGACAGAAAGCAAAGGCACAAATCTCTCCTCTGAGCTCCGCCAGTCCCCTCAGGTTAGGGCTGGCTCCATCACTCCCACTGCCAGAGCTGCATCAGCACATTCTGCCCCATTTAACAGTGTACACAAAACACACACAGTCGGTGTCTGGGACATACCGCCATGCCTCCACAAGTAAAAGCATACACAATCCTATCATAGTGACTGAGCACAAAGGCTGCCGATTGCATCCTACTTGTTTTAACTTGAGTGGGGCTAAAACATCCTTGCATTTCATGTTTTATAATTGTTAACTAGTTCCCAGCAGCATTTTACTGAAATAATGCACTGAAGCATACACAGTTACATACCAGGGCTTCTCCCTGGTATGCATGTGGCTACATGAATCAGTGAGTAAAAACTGACTGTAGGTGTGTCTCAGAATTGTTCAGCACTCATTCATATAGAAAATCCTTCACAGCCATCAAAGAGAGGTCCGTGGTATTAGTAGAACTGATTAGTATACCGGAGTGTTTATCACTAACTTTAATCTATAGGTAGACAGAGCTGATTTTTTTTAGATATTGTTAAACTAATTGTTTTAAACCAAAGTAAAAAAAATACATAAATAAATAAAATACAAGTCTGTAGTGTTTCTGTTTACAAGTCGGAAAGTTTCTACTAGGGTTGAATTCTCTAGCCTGTTGTGGCCTGTCTGTGTGAGTTCCCTCTAGCACTTGAGCTTCCTCCCACACTCCAAACACATGCATGTTAAGTTAACTGGTGATTTTAAATTGGGCGTAGGTGTGCATGTGAGCATGAATGTCTGTCTCTCAGTGTTAGCCCAGTAGTAGACTGGTGCAGAGAATCTTTCACCATGGCTGTACAAAACCAGGCAAAAAGATAAATAATATAAATTCTTACAATGTTTTTATACGGTATACGCAATATTGATACAATACCAGCATTTCAGTGTTTTAAACAGTCTTTTATAACATGTTAACTTGACACTCCTAAACATCCAGTTAGATTAGTTTTGAATGCAGCCTGAAGGCAAAGGAAACAGGTAATGGATGAACCATTGTACTTAACCACAGCAGCTGTTTACTCTTTGCTATAGTTGTAGGTAGTCACTCTTTTTATCTAATTCTTGGGAAAAAGCCAGTGTGTGTTTTCCCAGAATAGCTCTTTAAAGCAATATATTTTTCTATAACAAAGCCTCAGCTGTTAGTGCAGTCACTGAACTCCTACTTCTGACTTATTTGAAAGACCAATAAAGCAAGGCAGCAAGTTTTCTTTTTATTATATTTAGATGAACTTTGCAAAGCAATATTTCTGGATTAAGCAAAATCTCCATGAGGCCCATCACAACACCCTTCCCTTTTTTTTAACAAGGTTTACTTTAGATGTATATGGGATTCATACGGGATACAGAGAAGGAGAACAATAACCCAGCTGGAATACTGCATAATGCTGCAAAGGACAAGGTATTCAGTCTTCGGTGTATGAGTTCACCTAAAGTGTGCAGTTGAACAGGAGGTGAGGGTCAGGACTGTACAAACTGAATTTGTGCTCCTCAGTGTGTTCATGAACATATTCTTAGCTACGAAAAGACAGCACTGAAACATAGTTAAAGGGGAACTTGCATACATTTGTAAAATAGATGGAATTTATCAAATCAGCAGCTTTAAAACTGAGCCAGGCTGAACACAGACTTCTCAAGTCCCTGAAGGGGTACTCATTTCATTTTATATAAAATGTACTAATCATAGGAAGCTCTCGTGAGTGAACTGTGTAAGTTGAATTTTATACATATGACTAAATTTTTATGGAATGCAGATTTTTAACAGAATTTCTACATTCCCAATAACAAGGAGGGTTGAATAAAAACAAGACAAGTGAAGATTTTTTTAATAGCTTAATTAATAAAAAATAAATAAATAAATAATAATAATTAATTTTTAAAGAAGTTATGGTATCTGAACCCTTCCTTGGGTTAAAATGGTTAAAACAATGCCAGAAGCCTATTTATATGCACTTAAGCATTAATCAGTCTACCTGCTGTTACCTCAGAATAAAACTGGTACAGAGAAGGCCAGCGTGGTGGCATGGTGGTCATTACTATAGCGTCACAGCAATAGTCCTAGGTTCAAATTACTGTGTGGGTTTACTCTAGGTGATGTACTCCTTGCACAGTCCAAAGACATACAGATAGCAAGTTGCCCATACCTGAGACCAAGCCAAGGCTCACAACCTTGCCAAGCCACTTGAAGAGGTATACCAAAGAGTTAGAAGCCAGGAGAATAAATCAGCTGTTTTCCACTGAACCATCCAAGGTCCAATATGGCAAACTAGTGGAGTTAAGAGCAGATGGGAACCTCTCTGAACAGGTTCCAGTAACCATCACAGTGGCAGACATCTCAAGCATGAAGGTTTGGACAGCACCAGGCCCTGACATGAGTCACACCTCCTGTCTAAAGAAGCTAACTACATTCGATGAGTATTTGGCAGCATAGATGAACCAGCTAATGGACGAGACACAGCCAGAAGGGCTAGCTGAAGACCAGACAATCCTGTTCCCCAAAGATCCCCAGAAGGGACCGCTCCCATCCAACTACCAATAATCTTCCTCAGTACCACATGGAAGCGCCTATCAGGCATTATAGCGGCTACGATGACTATTCACATGGCTCAATACATGAGCGGGGCCCAGAATGGAATTGGCAGGAGCAACAAAAAGAGGGGGAGAACACCAGCTACCAGAATAATCAACCTGTGTACTGCCTGGACTGAGTACAAGAAACCCTAAGACTCAGTGTCTCACACATGGGTCCTGGAATGCCTAGAACTGTATACGACCAACAGAAAGAAGGAGGCAGGGGACTGGTGAGTGTCAGCACCATGGTACAGGATGAGACAACAAGCATCCATGAGTACATCAGGAAGATGGCCCCAACTGAGAGCATGCTCAGTGAATACCTCAGGCAGCAGAAACCCAAGAAATAGAAGGAAACATCATAGAAGGACAGGCCCCTGTACGGTATATACCACCAGCAGATAGAGGAAGTGGCTGACATCCAAAGCTGGACTGAAAGACAACACAAAGGCACTAATCATGGCACCACAGGAACAAGCTCTAAGTACAAAATCCATAGAGGCTGGGGTCTACAACACCGGGCAAGACCGAAGGTACAGGCTGTGTAAAGATGCCCCTGAAACAATCCAGCACATAACAGCAGGGTGCAAGATGCTAGCAGGCAGGGCATACATGGAACGCCATAACAAAGTGTCTGGCATAGTATACAGAAACATCTGTATACTATGCCAACCAGACATAGTAGTGGTGGAGAAGCAGAGGAAGATGGCCATAGTGATAGATTTAGCAATACCAAATGACAGCAACATCAGGAAAAAGGAACATGAGAAGCCTGAGAAGTGCCAAGGGCTCAGAGAAGGGCTCAAGAAGATGTGGAGGGTGAAGGTAACAGTGGTCCCAGTGGTAATCAGAGCACTAAGTGCAGTGACTCCTAAGCTAGGTGAGTGGCTCCAGCAGATCCCAGGAAATACCTCAGAGATCTCTGTCCAGAGGCGCGCAATCCTAGGAACAGCTAAGAACAGCGAGAGGGAACTTTTTATATATAGTGGGCTACTGGAACAACAAGTAGCCCGCTTGTTTCATTTAATTTCATTTTCTCAACCATCCATCCCACCTGAGGTTGCAGCGTTTGTGCAGGGTGTGGTGCCTTGGGTAGGTTTCCAGTCCATCAGGGGCTGACACACAGATATACAAAATTACACTCTTAAATGTATACCTCTGGTCATCTGAGAATTAAATATTCTAAATCAGAGCACCCAAACCAAAAGAACATACGATATGTGACAAAAGACAGGATTGTCAGAATATTTTTGCTGCATCTATTGTTTACCACGTACTGCAATATCTTGATTATAATTAATTATCATTTGTGTTTACTGATAAGTAACAAAACAGTGCTAGGATGTGATTAAAAGTGATGAAAAGTTCAACAAAATGTAGTTCAACGAAATGAAAATTACAAGCTGGTGTCAAACCCTAGAAATTTTGATGTTGGAT